GCTCTGGAACTAGAAATTTTTTTTTTTTTGCAGATCACAGGGAGAAACGGCTGTTCTCCCAGCAGAAGAACCCCATTGGCCATAATTCTGTGCTCCACACGATCAAGTTATTCCACTGAGATCGCTTGAAGCAGTCTTGGGGAAAACACCTTAGCAAATCTAAGAGCAGAAAAAGGTCTAACCACAGGCTGCACAACTTTTTGGGCTGATGTGGCATTTGGCTTCTTGAGTGCTGTGCTGGGCAACACATGCTAACAAATGGGTGGGACCAGGAAAAAACAGAACTGGTTTTCATTAACCGTGTCTAATATGATTGATTATTCCCCATGCTGGCTGGAGAATTCTGGGAGTTGACGTCCACATGTCTTAAAGATGCCAAGTTTGAGAACCACTGCTAAGATGCACAATGCTGGCATAGCACTTACGTAGCTTTTTAAATTGCTTTTAATAACCTGTTTAGAAAAACATTATCTGCAAAATATGTGATCTACATAGTTCCAGCCACAACTGAAAAAGTGTATTGAAAACAGCTTTAATCAAATGAAGATCTCAGAGTACAAGTACAGTCCCAAGTCATTCAGTTCATTTTCAGTATTTTAATAACTAGTTCAATGGCTGGATAGGTTGGTCTGGGCTAATCATACATTTAAACATACAGGCCTGACTTTTATTCCCAGTGCCATTAAGTTTAGCTCTATTCTAATTCAAAACAATTGGCATGAGAATTCAATCAATGGATTCAATATTCTTTTTGTATTTTATTCTGAATGTCTCCCTAACTTCCGTTATCAATTAAGCTTAGTGTGTTTTGGTTTCAATGAACCATAATCCGAAGCGTGATGAAAAGGCTTTAATTTATAATACCTGCGTATAAAGTTGCATAAGTCTGGAGTGTGTGCAGCTTTCCCTGGGCTCTTCAGAAAGTTCTGCTAGGTTTTCCAGGGTAGCAGAGGCCTGGATTAAGAAAGCATCTATTGACAGAAGACAATTGATATCCCAGTAAAACAGAGCAAAATTATTGATGTAGTCAAAATATAGCAATACTCTTTTCCATGAGCAAAGTATGATAGTAAAATATCCATATTGTCTGAGGATATGTGAAGATCAGAGAATATAAAATCAGTGTACACCAACTTGCAAAAAAGATCTACTTTAAAATACCGGGACTTACAAAGTTAGCTACAGCTTGCAGTCAGCAAGCTACAAGTCACAATGGCTATATATCACCAGACAGAATCAAGAATACACAACCCCCCAGATACTGTTACTGGGGAACTATAACTAGGGAAAACTACTGCTTCCATATCCCACTTGTAGGGTTTCCAAGAAATAGCAAGAAAGAGAACACTGGAAAGGTGACTTTGGTATGACGTGAACCCACAAAAGTTAAAGAGACAGATGGAAACCAGAAGCTGGGGAAATACAAGAACAAGGAATAGGAATTGCAATGAATTCCAGAAAGAAGGGGTTCAGCCAGTCTGGAACCAATGCCAATATGGGATGAGATGAAATTTGGCTTTCCACAGACTCCAGGAGGCAGTTATGGTGTCATCAGAATAGGACAAAGGACCAGGTTCCAAGGTATTATGGAAGAATTTAAGCTATCTAAATATTAATAAATGTTTTAAGGAGTGTTCCCCAAAGTGGTCAATACTGACCCCTAAGCGTCAATGAGACTATCCATTATTATTATTATTATTATTATTATTATTATTATTCATAGTGCAATTAAAGGAATATTTATTAAATTATTTTCATATAATGTTTGGGGATTGATGAACAATTTGAAACTGCATGAAGGGGTGGATGAACTGAAGTGTTCGGGGACCCTGGTTTTGAGCAAATATTTCCAAGCACAAAAATGCAAGTACAGGTGGTCCTCGGTTAATGACCACTTGTTCAGCGACCTTGCATGGCACTGAGCAAGTGGTACTTACGACCAGTCCTTGAAGTTCCAGCTATTGCAGTGCCCCCACAGTCACGATTGCGGTCTAAGTGCCCCGCAACTGGCCCGGATTTCCTACCATCACAGTGCCTCCAGTCATGTGATTGCGATTTGCGACCTTTCCTGCCAGCTTCCCACAAGCAGTCAACGGGGAAGCTGGCAGGAAGTCAGAAGTCGCAGTCACTTGAGGTCCTTGCTTAATGACCCACAGTGATTTGCTTAACGATAGTAACTGGGGACTGTCAGAACTGCCACTGCTAAGTAGCACAGTCATGTGACATTACACTTTACGACCGTATCACCTAGCAACAGAAATTCCAGTCCCAATTACCATCGTTAAGCAAGCACTACCTGTAGGTACATAAGAATAGTTTCAATATTGTACCTCTGGTTAGGCTTCAAAAGGAAGTTGGTCAGAATAGCTAGAGCTAGCTGAAGCTGTGATTTGACATACGGCTGGTAGATTTAGCAGGCATGGTGTAGCAGCTGGGTCCATTTTAAACTTTGCCTTTTTATAATTAATTTGCAACCAATCACATTTATAATCCTGCATTTCCTTGTCACTTGATAATAAACACACTCTGTTTCCTGTGTATTGGGGTCTTGCCCGCAGAATGTTGCTGAACACGTCCACGTGTGCTTGACCTGGTTTTGCAAACCCGTCATAAAATGTTTGGAGACTGAAGTACTGAAGGGTCCTGCTTGGCTAGACCAAACAAACCTCGCCTTGTAAGTCGCAAATGGGATGGAACAGGAGTTCCCTCTTACAGCTTTTTCTCCCACAGTGCCCGCTCAGCCAAACAGCGGGGCTGTCAAATCAGAGAGCTGCTGAGACCACACAACAGGTTATACCGCAACGCAAACATTGCTTTGCCGTATTTGTGGCTTTGCATTTCAAATGTATCGTTACTGTGGTTTGCAAACCAGGATCTATGGCTTAGTACGCTGTGCAAGCCCAGGCAAATGATTCAATACTGCAGTTAAACACATCGAGGCTTGTCCTAACGTGTGAACCAGGCCTTTGAAGGGAGGAAACCCATCCCAAGAGGGCAGATGGGCACAAAGACGTCTAAATTCTCTAATCAGGCCACTGCAGTTAGTTGGTCCAGAGATGAAGAGAGTTCCAGTCCAGCCCATCCAAACAGCACCTCTCAGAGAGAACGTGCTCTACCACCCTTCGTGTCCAGCCTGGTCTCGCCAACGGAAAAGAGACCACGGGGTGTGAAGGTCTGGCATGCCGTGGAAGCGGCCAGCGAGACTTTATGGCAACAGGGGGACCGTATTAGGGCAGCTCCGGGAGCCGCGCCATCCCTTCTTACCGCCAAACTCTCCGTCTTCTCGCCAACGATTCAGCCTCTCTGTTAGCTCTACGAGCCGCCGCTGCAGATGAACCGCAAAGGCAGCCTCGGCCATAGGGAAGGACCTGGGCCGGGCTTAGCTTCAGTTATACACATCACATGACTCCCCTTCCCTGCCGCAGCCACGTGACCCCGCCCTCTGTCACGTGAGGGGCTTGCGCCCAAGGTTTCTCTTGTTAGTTTGGCGACGCGGCGTTTTTTCCGAGCGGAGGCGTTGGTCGCTAGAGATAGGAAACGGGTAGAGGAGCCCCTCCTTCCGTGTTGCTCGTTGCTCCCGAAAAAGCGAATTGGGGGACTGACGTGCATGGAAAGCCACCAGCGAGCTTAGGAACAGGGGCTACGCGGGAAGCTAGAGAGCATCCATAAAGGCAGTGGGGCAAACCATTTTTGTGTTTTTCTCCAGAAAATTTCATGCACAGGAATCGAGCTGTAAATGTAGAGACGCTTTACCTCTCCTTTGTGGAAGAAGGAAGGGAAAGCTGCCTTTAGAATTTTTGTTTTTTTATTTTTAAATCAGAATTGCAGATAATGAGATTGGGTGAGAAGCCCTCCCACAACAAAATATGGTTTTATACTTCTTAATGTGCGTCTTTTTCAGATTTTTTTTTCCTAAATCAAACTGCTAGAGGTCAACCAACCAACATTTTTGAATAACTGCAAGGCGCAGACAACATACACAGCAGCAATTGGAACAGAAGTGCCTGTTTCTACAAGGCCTATTTATAACTAAGCTTCACAGAGTTCACTTAAACTTTCTTCTAGAAAAATGTGTAGAGTTGTAGCTTCAATGGGAGAGGGGAAGGGGGGACTGCTGAGGGGCATTTTGAATGGGAAGTTTGATGCCGAAAGTTCAAATTAGTCTTAGGATCCCCAGGAACAATTTAACGCAAAATCATAATAAAGTATAATTGTGGCAATATACCAATTAAAGTCTTGATACTCACATAGTGCATGCTATAGCTCAGCAAATAAAAGAACTGGATGAGAGTTTTGAATCCTTTTGCACAGTGATTAGTACTGATTATTACTTAGCCTCAGCTGAGAATAACCCTGAATTACATTGTAAACCATTATTTCAGCCTCTGCTTGCTCTTACCTTAAGTTGCACTGGATTTGGACAGGCAAACAGGAGTGCAAATTCTGAGCTGACTAAAAATGCGCATACGTGGAGGTCAAAAAAGTCAAAAGGTGACTTTGGTCACGGTCAGTCACCCTCGTGACTTTTTTGACATGATCCTCCCCCCGCCCCCCGCAAGCACCACCAGCTAAGCTATTACCTCTGTTGGTGGATTCTAACAGGGCATGTAACAGTAGATCCATTAATTTTCAGCCTTTCAAAAACTGGACAAGTTTTTTTGCTGGATGGTAACAGCAAATTGTAAATGACCTAATGGTAATACTAATAAAAGTTAATCTAAGTCAAGATACTTATGATAAAAGTTATTATTTGTTAGTATGTGGAATCTTTGGTTCTTGCTGAGTTATACTCCTGATAAAAGAATTCATGTTTTCATTTTAGAGGGCCCCAGTACTGCCAGATTTGAAAACTTGTCCCTTAACTCAGTCGGAACTGAAAAGCTGTGGTATGAGCCAATGTTTCTTTTTAAACTGTGCACACTTCAAAAATTGTTCAGACCTCCTCTGAACACAAGCAAACCATCACTGCTATTCATTAAAGCTGCCCAAACCTGAAAAAAAATGCCACTGGTTTAAGAATTACACTAGATTTAATAAATGAACTTAAAGCACCATATTTTTTTCAGCCATATGTGGATGCCCATAAAAAGCTGGGCTTTTTGTGTGTGTTTTAGTGACTCTGGGCAGCTTACAAGATTAAAATGCTCAAACCCACCAAAAATAACCCAGGGTGCCTAAGGTTAAACAATGAACCCACTTACCATCAATACATAATAGAGCTCTTCTACCCACTTGACCCAAATGCCTAAGGCAGGGTTTCTCAAACTTGGCAACTTTAAGATGTGTGGACTTCGATTCCCAGAATTCCCCAGTCAGGCATGCTGGTTGGGGAATTCTGGGGGTTGAAGCCCACACATCTTAAAGTTGCCAAGGTTCAGAAACACTGGCCTAGGGAAACAGCCAGATGTGGATTTTGACGAGAAAACGGATATGAAATATCACATAATAAGTTGCTAATGCTGTATTGGAAAACTGTATATGAGTTTTAAGGTACTTCAGATTGGTTGTTTTTCCATTTGCAATTCACTATCTTTCCCTGATTTTATCATTTCTTATATTCTTTTAAAATATAGTGAAGAATTAGTTCTTTTATTTTTTTAAAAAAATTGGGCTGTTTTAATGAATAGCAAAGAAGTGCTGTGCTTGTATAAGGTCTCAAGTTTTTTGCAGTGCACACAGACCTCTTTTTAAGAACAGGAAAAACCTTTCAAAAATAAGGAATATATAGACAGAGGACTCAATGATGCAATCAAATCTATTTTAATAATAATTCTCATTTTCCTATGGTAAATTAATATGATTGTAAATTGTGAACCTGAATTTGATGGCATAAATTACTAATGTCATAATGGAAACTGTGAACCGCAATAAGATGGCGTAAATTAATGCCTGGAGTGAAGAGTTGTTATAAATATGTTAGATATTTGATCGTAATTGTGGCAAGGGCTGAAAATCTACTTTCCCAAAGATACACTAAAGGAAAAGGTAATAGGAACTTCTGTTTTCACTCAAAAGCTCATGTTCTCTGAACTTTTATCCCAAAGGCTTCCAGTGATTTTTTTAATTGATTTAATTTGTTCTTCATTCATGGACTGATGGATCTCCGTATCCTTTATATAGGAAGAATGGATTAGAATCTGCATCTGGTTTATCAGAGCTGATTTAGAACATAGATTCGGAGTGGATAATCTTTGCAGCTGAATCCTTAAGGCTGAAAGCAGTGTATGAACATTTGAATCAATAAAAATATAAATTCTGGGATTTCTCCACTGGTTTCCACGAACTTATCTTCATTCTGTTGTTGCTGGCACTGAAAAATACTCTTTTCAAGCAGAAATATTCAGGCAGTTCCCTTTCCATTCAATTAGATATCTGTTATTATCTCCATTTACTGGATAATGTGAGCAAGGAATGAAAACTACAGAGAAGTATAACTGTAAGTCAGTTATAGCCAGATGTGAATCACTGAAAGTTTTCTTAGTGTGCAACACATTTTTACAGATCAAGGTGCAGTTAAAAAGAAAGCTGTAATATTTGATTCCTAACATAAAAAGTCTATGTATCACTTGGAGTTGTTCCGTCTGCACATCAATTTAAATTACATCAGCATGCAGAAAGGCTGATCTGAAAGTCCTTTTACCGGATATGTGGTATTCACACAGCAGGCTTATCCATTATCATATTTAGGGAATAACAATTTTTGACTCACTAACTTGGGGAGAATCAGTTTATCTCACATTCAAAACTCTCAGCTGATGGTGAACATTTTACCAAAGTGAAGAATAATTAGATTGCATCAGTGTTAAAAAGTTCAAGCAGATTATCATGTTAATTTTTAGAAGAAAGCATGATGGAGAATGCTCATTTTTATAGAGAAGAAAATACAGGTAGTCCTCAGGTTTAGAACGCCTGGTTTAAGGACGACCCATAGTTAAGAACGGAGCCTATTGCAGCAAAATTCAAGTTTAATACACAATGATTTGAGTTAAATACACAGTGGTTCGAGTTCATTACACAATACTGCCTATAGAGTATACTTACTTACTTTCTGGAGCTTCCACGGAACTGGAACATTTATTACCATCCCTTTTTAGATCAGTAGGTGCCAGGAACTGGTAACGGCTGCAATTCTTAAGACGTTCTGACTTAGAAGCAAACTCCAGCAATGCAATTCATTATCTAGCAAGGAGTTCGTTTTCCCTATCTTGTGGTCATCCAGATTTTTACAGCTCACAGATGGTAGCTCAACGTTGTTCAAACTTGTCAACTTTAACATGGGTGGGCTTCAACTCCCAGAATTCCCCACCCAGCATTCTGGGAGCTGACGTCCACCCGCCCTAAAGTTGCCAAGTTTGAAAAATACTAGCATAGCCCAATACAACAAGTCAGGTGAGCAAACTGCCAGACAACGCAGCTTTAATAGTTTGAGCAAAATGAAGTCCTCCAATAAATACTCCTGCAAGGGGAAAGGCAGTTTTTGTAAAACAAAAAAAAATCTCTTTTCATTTTACACAGATAAGGCTTCCCAGCAGGGAAAGGCTGCTGAAGACCAGCAAGCCTTGTTTCGGAGTCAGCCACGTGCAGAACCGAGCCGTAAGAAGCCACCGTTCCAGCGGCTTCAAGGAGATCCAAGTGCCATTAAAGCCGCCCCTCAGTCGGGCCTACCGGATCCCCATCTCCCTTCGTCCATCTAAGTAAATGAAGCGCCGAGATGCGGAAGCAGAGCTGAAAAGCACCTTTTCTTTTCCTCAAGGTCAGGCCGGCGCGGCGTCCGCTTTTTCTGCAACCGCGTCCAAGGACGCGCTGCTCGCAACGCGCCGACCTCGCCAGCCGGGAGGGAGGCAGGAGGATGCAGGCGTGTCATTCATTCTGCAGCAGATCGGAGGTCACCTTTCCTGCCCTGGCGGGGGCGGGATATTTTCCCTGCGGGGGTGGGCGGAAAGAGCCCTTGGGGTAGATCTGATCCTGCT